CCCCAGGACTACGGTCCCTGGTTTAAAACCTGGGGCATCTCCGGGGCGGCTATGTAGCCAGGCAGCCAGGCCCACGGACGTGAGGATCACAGCAAATGCCGCCTCCCTGCCAGCCCCTCGAGCCCGAGTCCACTGCTGGGAGGCGGGGGTGTTCTGACCCCCCTACATGCTAAGGTGGGCTCTCCTCTCTTATTTTGCCCACAAGGCAAGACAGGCCATGGCCCCAGGCGAGCCCTCACCTAAGCCGCGCTGACCGAGGTCACCGCTCCCAGGCAATCCAGGAGCAAAGGTTTGTCGTGTAATGTTGCACTTGCACACAGAAACGGCTCGCAGAGACGCACAAGCATTTTTGAGCCACGTCTGGGCTTGAGGTGTGAGGGTGGCTTCGGGCTTAACAGTATATTCCGACCCCTCTGGAGCCCAAATTGCAAGTTTGTTCTTCCAGCCCTGGCGGGGTCAGCATAGTCACGCCTCTCCTCGGCCAGCGTTTTCTGCCCATTCTCATTTTAGAAAGTGACTGGTCACAGGAAAGTCACTAGCGTCACACTAGTGTGGCCCAAACCTGCAGAGGAGGTTGTGGCTTGGAAATCCAGAGACGTGGCTCTCCCGACCAAGCAGTGGGTCCTAAGAGGCCCACCCGGGACCTCTCCTGTGGAAGTGCCGCGGGAAGGGGCTTTATGAGACGCCTGGAGGCCCCGGGTCTGCAGGAGGAAACCTCGGCTAACCTGAAGCACAATCCCCGGGACTAGCCATCACACAGCCCCTGCCCATGCACCCCAAGGAGGTGGTGCACAGCGTCCCCAGGGAGGAGCCTGGCAGCAGCTCCATCCTCCCTATGCAAACCCTGGCGCGCCCTCCCCACCCAGGCAGTCAAGGCCAGTCACCATGTCACCATGTCACCTCTGTCTTCACTGGGAAGGCGCCTCTCGCTGGCCGCCCCTCGCTGGCCCAGGGCTCTGTCGCCTCACCTGTCTGCGAGAGCCACTGGCAGCAGCTGGCCCCTGCACTGGACCCCGGCCCATCTGTGGGAGCCTAGCTTTTATTTTGAAAAGGGGAGGAAAAAGAGGGATAAACTCTGACGTCATGGACCTGCGTAGGACAGGGGTTTGGAGGCCATCTGGAGCAGGTGCTGGCAGGGCCCCTGGGAACGGGAAGGAGGGCAGCTGGCTCGTCAGGTGGGGGGAGGCTGGGGGCTGGGATCAAATGAAGACCTCATGCCATTTGGGGTTGCGCGTTCCTGAACTTCCTGGCCCCCGGGGAGCATGAATGAGGCTTCCTTGGCCTCCAGCTCCTCTGCTCAGGTCAGGCCCCAGATGCGAGACTCCTGGAGGAGGTGGGTGCCAAGCTCCAGGAGAGCTGGCCAGGCCATGGCCACCGCCAAGGGGCCCTTGGGCGTCTCAGAGGCTCTGGAGCTCCCCCCGCCTGGGCGTGCGTGTGTTCGTGAGGTAACATTCAGATCCCTCCTCGCACAGCTGCTTCCTCCTGCCTTCGTCCGGGGTCAGAAGCCTCTCCTCAGGCCTCCTGATTCACTCCGTCTCTGTCCAGGAGGCAAGGACGGCTCTTTCCCAATTACAGGTGGTGAAACTGAAGCCCCCCAGTGACGGGCTTGGCCCGGGGCCCACTGCAATTTCCCTGCCTGGCTTCCATGAGGTCTGCTCACCGCCTGCTCAGTGTCCTCTCTGGGAAGTGATGCAGCTGGAAAGGGGCCCTGGGATGAAATAATCGCAGAGCAAACAGATGGGTGGCTGAGCAAATCTCGGGGCCCTGAGAGCCCTCCCTTTGCATCCTAGGGCCAGGAGGGGGCGCTGTTCCAAGGATGGCGCCGAAAACCCGTCTTCCCTCCCCTGCCCCCACCCAAGAGCCCCTCTGCGGCCTCCCTTGCCAGAGACAGGTAGGGCAACCTCCTCTCCTGCTAACAGCCCGGACTGTCCCCAGGAAACACGGGCCCTGCCCTGACCCTGGCCTTCGCGGAGGGTCTGTCCACGCCAGCCTCTGAGACCTGGGGTTCTGGCCAGTCCCATCCCCTGCACCCTCTCCATGTGCCCCCATCACTCCCCCACACACCTACCAGTTCCTGGGCTCTGTGTCCCCCTTCTATGGCACCTCCCTGCCCCAGCCTCGGTGCGCTCCCCTGTTCGCCCATGGGGAGTCGCTGTTTCCCGGTGGGGTCTCCTCCTTCTTGTCCTTTCCCCCTGCCTGTAGACGCCTTTCCAGAGGAAGCTTGCTCCCCTCCTCCTCCAGGAAGCCCACCCTGCTGGCCCAGGCTGCAGGAGCAGCCCTGCCTTTGTGCTTCTGCTCTGCGATGGAAGCAGCCCTTGGACAAGAGGGGAGGCCACAGACACTCTGGGGCCCCTGGGGAGCTGCTCCAGTGCCCCTCTCTACCCTTTGCCACCAGGAGGAGTTTTTGTACCAAGTCTCCACCAAGTGCCATGAACAGTTTGTGTTCAGCGGCTCAGTGAGTCCAACTTGCCCACGTTGGGCCGGGGAAGCCCCAGCAGGTCCACACAGAGAAAGCAGGAGAAGGGTGTGGAGGCCCCGGTCTAGGCCCAGCAGGGAGGGGGCAGCTCACCTGCAGCCCGAGCAAAGCAGCAGAGGGGGGGCGGGGGGGCTGGCCATGTCCCTCCAGAAGCTCCGTCCAGCCCACCCTCTCCAGGCCCCAGGCCCCAGCTCAGCCGCAGCTGCCCCACGGCCGGCCCCAGGTGGCCCCAGCCTGGCGGCCAGGAGCAGGGCTTGGGGTAGAGGGGAACTGAAGAGGGGCTCGCCAAAGGTTCCTCTTCCAAAGAGGGGAAGTAGAGTCCCAGCTGGCTCTGCCCACCCCGAAGTGGGGTGACAGTGGGACAGTATTTCATTTAGTGTCAACTCCTCCAGTGGGGAGACCTAGCTAGGTATCCAGCTGTCCCCTGGCAGGGCACAGAAGGCAGGCAGACGAGCCTATGGACCGTGGGGGACAGGGAGCACCCACCTGCACTTAATAAAGTTTCGGGGTTGCTAACTTGGCCCTGCAAATCTGCCCAGAGCCCGGCTCTAGAGCCACTCAGTCCACTTTCTTACAGTGGTATAAATAAAGCAAATCTCAGAGAAGCTCCAGGCCAGTAGAAAAGGGGCTTCCCGAGAGATTCCCCCCGTCTCCTTTTGCTCTTCTTTTCTGCTCAAGTGAAGGGTGGCGCCACTCTACGGGTGGCATCCCACGAGGCAATCTGGGGGGACCACATGGAGGTGGTGAGCCAACTCACGAAGGATGCCCTGCTGATGTCTGGATTCTTTTAGCGGTCCAGAGAGTGTTGCCCCAACATCTCGGTTGCAGAAGTTTAAGTTACTTCTTAAAGAAAGGGACTTAGGGGGCGCAGCGGGTTACAGCACAGCACTGAGAAGCTAAAGCCATTTCAGCATGAGTTCGATCCCCGCCTGCCCCGGAGCTGACCCACATGGCGTGGCAGACCTCTCCTGACCCCCCCGCTGCTCCCCTCAGCAGTGTCATCAGTCAGTCTATTCTGCTCCCCGCTCTGTCTCTGGTGAAGCCTCTCACCGCCCATGCACCTCTGGCCTGTACCCCAGTTCTGTATGCAGAAATAAATCTTTTAAAATGTGAAAGAAAGAAAAAAAAATGTGAAAGAAAGAAAGAAGGAAGGAAGGAAGGAAGGAAGGGATTTGGGGCAAGATGGGTCTGGAGTTGCCAACTCAAAATGCCGATGTGCTAGGAAAGAGCGAGCAGAGAGCTAACAGTGCTGCCTCTGTCTGGAGACTCGGGGCCCAGGTTCCACTGGGAGCCATCTGGGCACCTGATTCCCACAGTTGTGTCTATCTGGCCACCCTCTGCCTCTGCAGGGAGCAGCTTCCGTTCACTGAGCAAAGTTCGTCCAGGGCCCCTTCCTGCAGTCTGGGGACTGCCACTAACGCCTCCCTGGGAGCCAGCAGGTCATAGATTCCTGCCGCTCACTCAGTTCTTGGGGCGTCAGGTTCTCCACCCCACCAGCCCATCCTGAGCAATCTCTTCGAGCCCAAGTATCCCAGACCCCCTGCCCAGAGGACTCGAGCGGCAGGGATACCTAGCCACACCTGACCGCCTCTAAAGGAAACTCTATAGGGCAGAAAATGCGAACACCAGCAGCCACCTGTCACCTGCTCATCGGCTCCCTCCCCGGCTTGAGCCAGTCCCAGGACACCAGCACAGACACCCCCTGCCGGCCCTGCTTGGATGCAATCAGAGTCCCGCTCCCTGATTGGGGTGGACGGAAGTCACCCCGGGATCAGCTCTGAGGACGTTAGCGTTAGGTGTTAGGTGCCCTGAGGGGGCACTTGGAGCCGCAGTGGCTGGGGACAGGATGCTGCTGGACACAGGATCACTCGTCGGCCAGAGGAGCCCACCTCCTCCGCATTTCAGGTTCAAACATGCAGGTGCAAAGCGTGGAGTCTGCGGTGCAGGACTTGCGCTCCCCCCTGCGGGGACCTGGGCCCCAGGGTCTTTCCAGTCTAAAGGCTGGGGGCAGGCCAGGCCTGCGCTCTCAGATACCAGGGAACAGTTTGGCCACGAGGCGGGTCTGTGGGATGTTGGGACGTGCCAACTTTCTGCCTGTGTAACTTTGGGAAGTGACTTAGTTGCTACGAGCCTCTCTTTGCACCTGCAAAGAGGGAAGCTGATCCCTTCCACGGAGAGCCGCCGTGCTGAGGTCTAACCGTGCGCACCCGGCACCAGGCGCGCAGACTGTTGGCCCGCCAGGGCGCGCGGTAGCAGCCCCTGGAGTTCTCTCGTGCACAGCTCCTCGTGCACCCGAGAGAGAGCCAGCGAGCCTCGGGACCCCTCGGGGGTGCGATGAGGGTGGGAACCGAGACGGAGCCCCGACGGGCCCCCTCCCGGCGCCGGCGCGCGTGCCATTGGCTCGGACGCCCGGGTGGGCGGGGGGATGACATCAGCGGCAGGTTGGATTATAAAGGCGCGAGCCGAGCCGCGGGCTCAGAGCGCACCCAGCCGGCGCCGCGCAGCCCTGGGACCTGCGCCCGCTCGGCACCCGGGCCAGCCCGCTCTTCCCTTCCCACTGGCCTGTCCGCGGCTCTGCGCGCTCTCGCTGCAGCCGGGTTGCGCTCCTCGACCCTACCGCCACCATGCACCTCTCCCAGCTGCTGGCCTGCGCCCTGCTGCTCACGCTGCTCTCGCTCCGGCCCTCCGAAGCCAAGCCCGGGGCGCCACCGAAGGTAGGTGCTGTCGCGGCCCGCCGGGACCGTCTGGCGCCCGGGGAGGGCTGGGGGCCTAGGGGTGTGGGGTGCTGGAAAGAGCAAAGAGGGGGGAAGCTGCCCGCTCCCCGAGGTGTGCGCGGGTGAGTCGGGGAGTCCTCGAAGTCCGGACTTTGGGTCTACGTGCCCAGCCTGGACGAACGTCGCAGCCCCAATCCAGAGGCCAGCCGGGCTGGGGCCAAAGGGCGGGAGAACCGGGCGCTCCCGCAGGAGTGGACGACGGCGGCCGCGTGGCAGGTGGACGCAGAGCCGAGACCGCCGCTCGGTCTCGCAGGGGCCACGCCGTGCTGGCCGGCGCGTCCAGCTGAAGCACCCGGCACGCCGCCCGGGCCCCGCGCGGCGCCGCGCGCTCCTTCACCTGCCGGCTCTCTCCCTCCGACAGGTCCCGCGAACTCCGCCCGGGGAGGAGCTGGCGGAGCCCCAGGCTGCGGGCGGCGGTCAGAAGAAGGGCGAGAAGGCGCCCGCGGGTGGCGGCGCCAGCCTCAAGGGCGACCGGTCGCGACTGCTCCGGGACCTGCGCGTGGACACCAAGTCGCGGGCGGCGTGGGCCCGCCTGCTGCACGAGCACCCCAACGCGCGCAAATACAAAGGCGGCAACAAGAAGGGTTTGTCCAAGGGCTGCTTCGGCCTCAAGCTGGACCGGATCGGCTCCATGAGCGGCTTGGGATGTTAGTGCGGCGACCCCTGGCGGCGGTGAGTACGAGCTCCCGGGCCACCCGCGCCTTGGCACCGCGTGCCCTCGCCCCGCCGAACCAGCCCCGGGCCCCGCGGCGAGAGCATTCCGCCCCCTCCTCTGGCGCCGGGACCCCTGCACCTCCGACCTGTCTTTGGGGTGAGGGGGCAGCCGACCGGTCACAGAGCGTGTGCTCCGCCACTTGCCCCGAGCCCTTTTACCATCCCATTTTCCAGGGGGGCAGAGTGAGAGAGGAGCGGTCAGAGTGGTCAGAGAACTTTGGCCCGGTCAGAAATGGCCCCGCCCAGATGCCCCACCCGGAGAATCAAAGCAGGCTCGGTGCAGTCCCGCCTTCCGCAAGCCACGGCTACCAGCAGCACCCCAATTCAGTGATTGAGGGCTTGGGGGGGCAGTTGGTGGGTTTGTGGGCCCAGAGGAGGGGCGCAGAAGCGCGCCGCGAGGGTAAGTTTATCTGCCAGCCACTGCATCCTGGATGCCCTGTAGGCAAACTTCAGGCCCGCTCCTGGGGGTCTCTCACCCCCCAGCAGGACAAGCCAGGGGAAACGCCTCCCCCAGAGTGGACAGAATAGGCATCACCAGGGAGCCCCTCCCAACTGTGACAGTGACATTCAAGTGCCTAGACTCTGACCGCTACTCGCTACTCGTTGCTGGCTTTGCCTGGCGTGGCTGCTGCCGTGACGACCCGCTCCAGGCCACCCGCTCCAGGCTGCTCTCTCACCCAGAATGCGCCATCAGTGTCCACCGCAAAGTGCAGGTGTCCCCCGCGGGCACCAAGGGCACCCCTCCTTTGAAAGTCTCGAGCATGTTGCCTAAGCCCATTTGCAGCCCAGAAAGCATTTTCCTCTGACGTGCAGGTGCCTGTGAACCTACTCACCTGTCCAAATAACTCATGAGCAACGTCAGAGCCAGACGCTTAGCCTGAGGTGACCCAGAGGGCCCCAAAGTGCTCGTAAAAATGTTTGTCAATAGCCAGAGAAACCTGCCCGCCCAGCTCAGGGGCCCCGCCGCCCGCCCTTCCTCTCTCTGCAGGTGGGCTGGCTGGCTGGCCGTGCTCCCCATTTCCGAGGGGACGGTATCTGAGGTCTTGCCTCACCCCCGCGCAGGGAGGAGAATGGTGCAGGGCCTGGTGGCTGCTGCATGGTGTCTTTGCTGCCCTCTCCGGTCTAAGCAGTGACAGGCGGGCCCCTGGCGTCGGGTTTCAGTTTGCGGTTGAAGCACCATGCCCAAACTTGCGAAGTCTAACAGAGTCTGGCTCTCGATGGCTGGGGGCTGGCATGCTTGTCCCTGAGGTTCCCGGCGCTCAGGTGTGGCTGGCTGCGTGAGGGAGGAGCCCTGAGCCCTGAGGAGGTTTAGCAACCTCCTGGAAGTTCTCTCTTGTGGCTCAGCACCCACCTGCCGCCCCTTAGCCTCTCAGCCCGAGAGAGAAAGGCAGCTTAGCTGTTCACACTGGCGAAACGCACCCGCGCTGGGCCCCCTCCCCGGGAGATGACCTTGGCTCTACGCAGTCACCGTAATGACCGCCGCTGAGGGCCACAGGCCGTGATTATAACGTGCTAATGACAGAGGCAAGATGCTTGCCCCAGACCCCGACATCACCCACAGCTGTCTGAGCCCCGGTATGGCCAGAGAAGGGAGTGGGGGGTGACCAAGGCCTGGGGCTGTGCAGGTGCCGTCTGCTGGGAGGAGACTTCCTCACACACACAGCCCCCCAGCAGAGACGGGGTACACTCTTCCCCTCCCATATCTCCACCTGGCTGCCCAGCACAGCTGTTCATTTTCCGGGAGCTGGGATGAACCCCCATTTCCTCTGCTGCAGCAGGGAACCTTTTCCCAGACAAAGCCAGCCAGAGGAGGAAATGCCACGAGTGAGGGCCGCTGTGACCCAGACACCACTGATGCCCAGCGTGCGGCCCCTGGGAGGTGGCTATTATCCCAGATTATGGGTGAGGCAGAGGTGCTCACAGCCACCCAAGGGCCATCCAGGAAGGCAATGCCCGGGCCCTGAACGCAGAATGCCCACTCCTCAGGTATTTCTCCCGCCCTCCCTCCGGCCCTGCCAGACGGGCAAAGCCCAGGCTGGCGCCTGAGAACCTGCACAGCAAACCCGCGCTGTCTCCCTCACGGGTCTCACCCAGGGCCAGGGGCGCCCCGCGCAGCGAAGGTGTGGGAGGGGCGGTTCCCTCTGCAGGAGGCTTCGCAAGCTCCGGGCGAGGGCCCACGGGCATTGCCACCGCCAGGGTTCTCGAGCCCGCGGGTCGGAGCGCTCCCTCTGCGAAGAGCCAGAGCTGAGCGGCCGCGCCCTCTTGTTTCAGGACTGGCACTTGCTGCCCGCTGCCCCTCGCTGAGGTCATCCTCGGTCATCAGCCTCCGGCATCTGGAAGCCTCCCCACGCAATGTGGCTTTGACATTTCTCTTTTTTTCCTGGTACTGGGGATACACAACACCAGCTGTTATTATTATTTGGGGCGGGGGGTCTGACTTTATTGTTTGGTTTTTTTTTTTTTTGAAAATGAAAAATAAAAAGTTATATATTATATATATATTATATACACGAAGCCCGTACCTACATGATGGACAAGCGACAGTTTGTAAGAGACTGACAAAACCAGCTGTAAAACGTGCTGTTTGTAAATTCATGTCATGCATAAATGTATTTATGTTGTAAAGCTATTTATATTGTTTATAAAGAGATATTTATAAAAATTTTATTTATGTAACTAAAAGAAAGAAGTCAACCATTGTCATGTTTTTGTCTTAATTAGTTGGAAAATGTAAAAAAAAAAAACCATTCCGTGAATATCCTGCAAACTGTCTTTCTTGACTCTGCATTTGCTTCTAGCAATTAGTCCGAGGGAGCGGGCGAAGTCAGACCAGGCTCTGGCCTCCGCGCAGCTCTAACGGCCAGGCCCCAGGCCGGGTGAGGGTCTGTGCCCCTCCCAGGGCGTGTGTTGGAAATCACCCCAGCCCTCGCCCCATCTACTGAATCCCTCTCCTCGGACAGATGGGTCCTGCCCCCGCTACCTGGGGCCCAGAGTGGACAGCCGGCGGTCAGGTGGCATTTAGCCGACTGAGGCCCTCAGCTCCCCTCCGCGCTGTGTTATGGGAGCCAGTGACGCCTGGGAACCGCCCGCCTGGGGCCTGGGGGATCTGCCAACTTGCAGGGCCCCTCACGAGCCGGGGCAGCTGGGGGCGGGCGTGGGGGGAACGTCTGTACCTCACGGCCAGTGTCACGGCCAAAGTGACCCTTGAAGGCCTCCGAGAGCAAGGCTGGGCCGGCGGCTTCCGCTCGCCCCGCGCTCCGCGGGCTTTCCTCTTCCTGTGGAGCCTCCGGCAGCCCGGGCTATCTGTGCCCACGGCCTTGTTGTGAAATCACGGCCGTTCGGAATCTTCCTGACACCATCTTGGCTCGGCGACACTGTGCCTCCCCGCCGTCTTCTGGCCCCGGCACCGTTAGCGGACAGCAGGGACAGAAAGAGCCTTTGGGGCCGGACGCGTCAAGAAGCACAACCCCGCTCGGGCGCTGGGGGCTGAGGCCAGTGGCCCTTCTGCTGGCCCTTGCTGTTCTCTCAGCAAGGCTCTCCAGTGGACGGGCCACCCACACAGTGGCCACGCCAGGTAAGGTGTTGCCTTGACATGGCTGCTGCCCAGCCTTCCCTGGCCCGGCCCGGCCCGCCAGCCTGGACGCGGCCATCTTCCCGGCCCCGCCCCACCTCTGGGGCTCAGGGCTCGGGGTGTCACTGAGGGTGAGGGGCTCCAGCTACTGTGCCATCTGCAGACTGGGGTCGGGCTGCTGAGGGGCTCCGCAGGAGCCGAGAGGGAGCAGAAGGGGGCAGGAGATGGGCTCTCTGTGGGCTTGGCTGCTGGCCAGACACACGGCTTCCCGCAGCCCAGAGACAGGAGCAGGAGTCGGGGTCCAGGGAGCCACACCTGGGATTTTCCCTGTGGACAGTATCCGGGTGCCAGTGACAGGGCATGGAGGCGCCCCGAGAGCCAGCTCTGCTAGGCCCCCCCCCAGGGGCAACCTGAGTGAGCACTGAGCAACACTCCAGGCACCCTCAATTGCAGAGATGGGGGTGCCGCCAGGCAGTCCACTATCCTTTGACATCCAAACCCAAAGTCCTGGGGCTGCTTCCTCTGGTCACTGGTCCGGAATTTCTGCCACAGCACAGGCCAGCCTGGGAGGTGGCCCGGGTAGGTACGTGGGACCAGCAGCTCTGGCCTGGGGGTGTCCCCACATTCTTAGCTCTGCGAGTCTTCGGCCACTGCTCCTCCCTCCAGGCCTGGCCGAGAGTGCGGATTAGACCGGACCTGTGAGGTTATGCGGTGGTCTAAGTTGCAGGTTTATTTCTTGCTCTTGGAAAGCCTGAGGGTCTGGCCGGCCGCCCCGCCGCGGCTCGCATGCAGGGAGGGTGCGGCAAGCAGCTCCCCGCGGGGAGACCCAGCCGCCAGGGGCCCTGCCCACGCGCCCGCCTGAGGCTCATCCTCACATGAACTGGCCCAAGCCAGGCTCACGGCTGCGCCTTCTCTGGAAGGCCGGGGAAGAGCCATTCTCCCCTGCGCCAGAATCAAGGGAAACTTCGATTCCAGCAAATGGCAGCCCGCAGGCCGGACGCGGTTCTTAAACTTTGCCCTGCGTCTGGCAGTCGCCCGGCGAGTCGCGTTGCGTCAGCCGCTGCGTCTCACCTGAGCTCGAGTTCCCTGCCCGAGCGGCCGTCCTTTCCCTTGTTGGGCCTCTTCTATCTGGGTGCTCCTAGTGAGTGTGGCCAAAGCAGACGTCGCTTGAGACGCGGGGCCGGCTGGCTCGCATCGCCAGTCGTTTTTGCTTTTGCGTGGGCGGCTTCGGCGGCATGTTGCCTTGGTGTTTCTGAAGTTCTTGATGTTTCCGTTCCTTTCGATCCGTTCTCCCCCTCCGGCCGTTGTGCTCGCTTTTATCTCCTGCAGCGATTCAGAGAGTGCACCTCCTGCCCAATTCTGCTAATGGTCTCTCTCTCATGAAAATCATCAAACTCACATCCACGGTGTGACCACAATCACA